GTTTCCAGGTGTGTATCCAGGTGTGTTTACTGGTGTGTTTCCAGGTGTGTATCCAGGTGTGTTTCCAGGTGTGTATCCAGGTGTGTTTCCAGGTGTGTATCCAGGTGTGTATCAAGGTGTGTTTCCAGGTGTGTTTCCAGGTGTGTATCCAGGTGTGTTTCCAGGTGTGTTTCCATGTGTGTTTCCAGGTGTGTTTCCAGGTGTGTTTGCAGGTGTGTTTGCAGGTGTGTTTGCAGGTGTGTTTTCAAGGTGTGTTTCCAGGTGTGTATCCAGGTGTGTATCCAGGTGTGTTTCCAGGTGTGTATCCAGGTGTGTTTCCAGGTGTGTATCCAGGTGTGTTTCCATGTGTTTCCATGTGTTTCCCGGTGTGTTTCCAGGTGTGTATCCAGGTGTGTTTCCAGGTGTGTATCTAGGTGTGTATCCAGGTGTGTTTCCATGTGTTTCCCGGTGTGTATCCAGGTGTGTATCCAGGTGTGTTTCCATGTGTGTTTCCAGGTGTGTATCCAGGTGTGTTTCCAGGTGTGTGTGGTTCCAGGTGTGTGTGGTTCCAGGTGTGTGTGGTTCCAGGTGTGTATCCAGGTGTGTTTGCAGGTGTGTTTGCAGGTGTTTTTCAAGGTGTATTTCCAGGTGTGTATCCAGATGTGTTTCCAGGTGTGTTTCCAGGTGTGTTTCCAGGTGTGTATCCAGGTGTGTTTCCAGGTGTGTATCCAGGTGTGTTTCCAGGTGTGTTTCCATGTGTGTTTCCATGTGTGTTTCCAGGTGTGTTTGCAGGTGTTTTTCAAGGTGTATTTCCAGGTGTGTATCCAGATGTGTTTCCAGGTGTGTTTCCAGGTGTGTATCCAGGTGTGTTTCCAGGTGTGTTTCCAGGTGTGTTTCCAGGTGTGTTTCCAGGTGTTTCCAGGTGTGTTTCCAGGTGTGTATCCAGGTGTGTTTCCAGGTGTGTTTCCAGGTGTGTATCAAGGTGTGTTTCCAGGTGTGTTTCCAGGTGTGTATCCATGTGTGTTTCCAGGTGTGTATCCAGGTGTGTTTCCAGGTGTGTTTCCATGTGTGTTTCCCGGTGTGTTTGCAGGTGTGTTTCCATGTGTGGTTCCAGGTGTGTGTGGTTCCAGGTGTGTGTGGTTCCAGGTGTGTATCCAAGTGTGTTTCCAGGTGTGTTTGCAGGTGTTTTTCAAGGTGTATTTCCAGGTGTGTATCCAGATGTGTTTCCAGGTGTGTTTCCATGTGTTTTTCCAGGTGTGTTTCCAGGTGTGTATCCAGGTGTGTATCCAAGTGTGTTTCCAGGTGTGTATCCAGATGTGTTTCCAGGTGTGTTTCCAGGTGTGTTTCCAGGTGTGTATCCAGGTGTGTTTCCAGGTGTGTTTCCATGTGTGTTTCCCGGTGTGTTTCCAGGTGTGTTTCCAGGTGTGTATCCAGGTGTGTTTCCATGTGTGTTTCCAGGTGTGTATCCAGGTGTGTTTCCAGGTGTGTATCCAGGTGTGTTTCCATGTGTGTTTCCCGGTGTGTTTCCAGGTGTGTATCCAGGTGTGTTTCCAGGTGTGTTTCCAGGTATGTATCCAGGTGTGTATCCAGGTGTGTTTCCAGGTGTGTATGGATATGTGTGGAGGGCACGCTCGTGAACTGTTAGCGCCAGAGCCTCACTGCGGGGAAACTGTGGCGCGCAATTTGCATTTGCACATAAGATGAGGCCCCACGCACTCTGCGTGATCTGCGTGTAGGGAGGGGCGGCCCTGTGTGTTTCCAGGTGTGTCTGTAAGTGTATTTCCAGTTGTCTAAACATGTGTGTATCGAGATGTGTATCCATGTGTGTTTCCAGGTGTGTTTGCAGTTGTCTAAACATGTGTGTATTTAGTTGTGTATCCATGTGTGTATCCAGGTGTTTGTCCAGGTGTGTTTCCAGGTGTGTTTCCAGGTGTGTATTTAGGTGTGTATACATGTGTGTATCCAGGTGTGTATCCAGGTGTGTCTCTAGGTGTCTATACTCGTGGGTTTCCAGGTGTGTTTCCAGGTCTGTATCCAAGTGTGTTTCCAGGCGTGTATGTATGTGTGTATACATGTGTGTATACATGTGTGTATCCAGGTGTGTCTCCAGGTGTGTCTCCAGGTGTGTTTCCAGGTGTGTCTCCAGGTGTGTTTCCATGTGTGTCTCCAGGTGTGTCTCCAGGTGTGTCTCCAGGTGTGTATCCATGTGTGTCTCCAGGTGTGTCTCCAGGTGTGTCTCCAGGTGTGTTTCCAGGTGTGTTTCCAGGTGTGTCTCCAGGTGTGTTTCCAGGTGTGTATCCAGGTGTGTTTCCAGGTGTGTCTCCAGGTGTGTCTCCAGGTGTGTTTGCCTACCTGTGACCCGTTGAAGACCCCGACCTGGACGATGCGCCCTTGTTTCTGCTGGTAGTTCATGATGCTGTAAGTCGCGAAGCGCCGGTCGCCGTCGTCGTTAAACTCGATGCGTCCCGTCAGACCGTCGGGATACTTCGATGACATCAGCACTCTGGAGAGCCAATCAGAGAGCAGAACACAACATTACATCACCAGATCACCAGACTTTAAAAAAAAACCTTTAAACTGGCATTCCTCACTGATGGCCGACGAAGTGAGGTAAAACATTTAAATGTCGAAGACAATCAGTTAAATACTTGACAGAATAATGGAAAAGGATACAGAGCCCTTTCAGATTAACCTGGTGTCAATGTAAACTAACAGTGTGCAGGTTTTTCTTTCATACATATTTTTAATTTAAAACAATTTACACATTTTAAAAAGCTGATATAGGACACAGACCCCCTCAAGTTCGGATAGTGGGGGGGTCCGGGTTAGAGCAATACACCCTCACCTATTTTTATATTGCCTTTTTCAAAATCTATATCTTTATCTGTATCTTGATGTGTCCTTAGGCAAGATACTGTGTGTGTGTGTGTGTGTGTGTGTGTGTGTATAAATGCATCTATGTTCTAGTACACCAGGTTTAATTTGGATCTGCGCTTTAGGTGAACTTACAGTAACATTTACCGCTTTTCTTTTCATTCATCTTTTAAATTTTAAAACAATTTACCCATTTATGACGTATTTGACCGTTGCTCACGGACCTGACGGAGAAAATAAGGGTCCGTGAGCAACTATCAGCATTAATAATCCTCAGCTGTAGTGTGTGTGGTGGTGAATGTTATCATTGTGCAGGAGTCAGACTGCTGAAGGTCTGTCTGAAGTGGAGCAGGTCACATGATCAGCGGGATGTGAGAGGACGGAGGATTGAGGTCAGTCTGAGCGACGGACAGCGTTATTATCCCCGAATCAGATCAGTGGAGCGTGTCCTGTTATATCTGAACACTGCAGGAGCACATCTATTAAATACAAATCACTAGATCTTTCAAACAAGACACGACACATATAAACATATATATATATATATTATATAGAGAGAGGGCGTACCCATACACCCTTCAATTGTGTTTTATTGTCAGAGTTTATAGATTCCAGACACTTTTTTTACGCTGCTATGGACAATCTTTCACTGATGCACATTCTCAAAGATATTGAAGTGACTGTTATTTTGTATTTACTGATTGTTGTTCTTTTATGTATGTCTTAATGTGTGCATATGTATAAATGTGTCTTGTACTATATATACATATTCTTATACATATTTTTATATATATTTGTTTTTGTATTCTGGATTGTGGGAAACTGTATTTCGATCTCTCTGTTCACACAAACTGAAAGATTGACAATAAAGTTGACTTTGATTCTTTGACTTCACGGTCTATATTTTCTACTTTTTAACGCTGATTTAATTCTATTTTCTTTCTAATAATACCATGTTATGGTTTAACTCGTACCTTCACAGTAGAAAGCAATGTGTGGTTGTTAATGGAAAACAGTCTGACCTGTTGATCCAACAAAAGGGTGTACCCCAAGGATCAACTCTGGGCCCACTTCTGTTCTCTATTTACATAAATGATCTATCTTCTTGTCTCATTCATTGTTGTACTCACCTTTATGCTGATGACACTGTCATATATACATCCAAATCAGATTGTTCACAAATTCAGATCTCTCTCCAATCTGATTTTAATATCTTACAGGACTGGCTATCACACAATAAACTACTGCTTAACAAAACAAAATCTTATACCATGGTCTTTGGTACCAGGCAGAAGCTCAGATCCAAACCTAATGTAGTAATAACATGTAAGGATTCTCTGCATAAAGTTGATGGCTTTAAAATTCTTGGTGTATGGCTAGACTCTGAACTTTCATTTAAACTACATATAAAGCATGTAATACAAAAAGTCAATTACGGAATCTGTGTTTTATACCGCTCCCGCAATTGTTTTACGCTCAGTGTCCGAAAGAGAATTGCTTCTCAACTTATTCTTCCGATTATGGACTATTGTGATGTTGTCTACCAAAATGCACATAAATCAGATCTTGCTCCACTCAACATAGCCTACAACAGACTATGCAGATTTGTTCTTGGTTGTCCTTTTCGTACACATCACTGCACAATGTATAACCAACTTAAATGGCCTTCTTTAAATGTAAGAAGACACACGCATTGGCTCCAGCTGATATTTAAATGCATGTATCTAAACTATCCCCCTTATTTAAAGCAGTATTTCGTACCCTACTCACCAATTCATCAAGTTAGACATTCTGTCCAGATTTATTTCTCTGTCCTCTCTGCAAACAAATGTATTGGCAGAAGAGCGTTCATGTTCAAAGCCCCAACCGACTGGAATACTTGACCTGCTGCCGTTAGACCTCTGTCATCATTGGGTTTATTTAAACATTATCATCTCACTTTCAGCTGCTCTGCTCTTGTTATAACTGATATTAATGAAACTGATATTGATGAAACTGATTTGCTCGACTGTCTGAAATTGTAATGATTGTGTGCATTGCTTGAATTTCACTGAACAGACTGTGTGTGGTTTGTCTTGTGTGTCATGTTTTGCATTGTGTCTTTTTGTTTATGTCTGTAAGTTGTTGCTATTGTCGGGACCCCCTTGAAAACGAGATGGTGCATCTCAAGGGGTTTATCCCAATGAATAACATTTCTATATATATTTATTTTGAGATGTTTAAATTCTAGTATTGTTTATTTCTACTCTTTTATTTCTACTTATGCCTTGTTTTGTTTTTGTTTACGCTGCTGCTTCGCAAACATTTCCCACTGTGGGATCAATAAAGAACCTCTTAGCTTGTCTCTTAGCTTATAACATAACAGAGAACAAAACCATCATAATATTAATATGAATAAAAACAATACAATTATAACAATAATGAGCAGAAATCTGATATAAATAAATGAAGGCGTACATTGATGTGAATCTGGTATTACTGGCTGCTACTACCCTCTGTCTGAAACCAGAGCCCAGTCTGCTCTGTTGTGATTGGTCAACCGCTTAGAGATGTCCCGCCCCAATAGGAGCACGAGTGTTACATAGTGATGTCACAAAGGAGTCCAATGGAGGTGTTTCAGGTAGTATAGGGGAACTGTGTGTGACAGAAACTCCCTCTGGAGGGAACACAGGGATTTCAGCCTCTGCAGACCATTTACATGCACTAAAACCTATAGAACACCACAGAAGAAGAATAGCACCCCTTTAAGTAAACACAAGGAGGAGGGAAGTATAACTCGTGAATCTGCGGGATAACATAACATGAGAAAAGTTTAGCTTTACTGCATTATGCCCTCCCCCTCCCCAAGGCACACACACACACACACACACACACATGCACGCACACACACACACACACAGGCACACACACACACACATGCACACACACACACACAGAGGCACACACACGCACACACACAGGCACAAACACACACACACAGGCACACACACACACGCACGCACACAGGCGCACACACACAGGCGCGCACACACACGCACACACATAGGCACACACACGCACACACACAGACGCACGCACACAGGCGCACACACAGGCGCACACACACACGCACGCACACACACACACAGGCACACACGCACGCACACAGGCGCACACACACACACACGCACACACACACGCACACACACACGCACACACTTGAATGAAACCTAGATCTTTCACATCAGATCACATGAACGCTGTGCTCTCTGTGTCCTGAGGTGTGGTTGGTTTTCATGAGGACCGTATTTCTCGTCAGCTAAATATCTCTGCTGTCCAAAAACATGCCACCTAAAAAGATACTGAGAAACAAAAGCCTGAGCAAACGAGTCCTATTCCACGAGACTGAAATCAAATGCAGCCATTTAGCTTAGCGGTGGAGACGTGAAGTCATGTGACCGGCCAACCCAGCCTCACGGCATGTCGTGTTATAGTCACGACATGTAATCTATTGATTCGTGTTCACCAACACGATTTCCCCCTTTGTTTTGTTTCCTCACAGATGACAAAAAAAGTCTGTGTTGGTGAACACGAATCAATAGATTACATGTCGTGACTATAACACCAAATGCCGTGAGACTGGGTTGGACCGTGCTGTAGTTAGATTACATTACATATTACTTGTTAGCTGCTTTTATCCAAAGCGACTTACATACTCAATACTGTGGGCAATCCCCACAGGAGCACTGAAGTGTCTCAGGGACACAACGACATGCTGACTGCAGTGGGGTTTGAACCTGTGCTCTCCTGATCCGAACACCAACACACTAGTCCACTACGCCACAGCCTCCTTTATAGCCCAACATTAGCCACCTTTAGCTTAGCGGTGCAGACATGAAGTTATGTGACCGTGCGGTATTTCCTTTATAGCCCAATATTAGCCACCTTTAGCTTAGCGGTGGTGACGTGAAGTCATGTGACCGTGCTGTAGTTCCTATATAGCCCAACATTAGCAACCTTTAGCTTAGCGGTGGTGACGTGAAGTCATGTGACCGTGCTGTCGTTCCTTTATAGCCCAACATTAGCCTCCTTTAGCTTAGCGGTGGTGACGTGAAGTCATGTGACCGTGCTGTAGTTCCTATATAGCCCAACATTAGCAACCTTTAGCTTAGCGGTGGTGACGTGAAGTCATGTGCCGTGCTGTTGTTCCTATATAGCCCAACATTAGCAACCTTTAGCTTAGCGGTGGTAACGTGAAGTCATGTGACCATGCTGTAGTTCCTATATAGCCCAACATTAGCGTCCTTTAGCTTAGCGGTGGTGACGTGAAGTCATGTGACCGTGCTGTCGTTCCTTTATAGCCCAACATTAGCCTCCTTTAGCTTAGCGGTGGTGACGTGAAGTCATGTGACCGTGCTGTCGTTCCTTTATAGCCCAATATTAGCCACCTTTAGCTTAGCGGTGGTGACGTGAAGTCATGTGACCGTGCTGTAGTTCCTATATAGCCCAACATTAGCAACCTTTAGCTTAGCGGTGGTGACGTGAAGTCATGTGACCGTGCTGTCGTTCCTTTATAGCCCAACATTAGCCTCCTTTAGCTTAGCGGTGGTGACGTGAAGTCATGTGACCGTGCTGTAGTTCCTATATAGCCCAACATTAGCAACCTTTAGCTTAGCGGTGGTGACGTGAAGTCATGTGCCGTGCTGTTGTTCCTATATAGCCCAACATTAGCAACCTTTAGCTTAGCGGTGGTAACGTGAAGTCATGTGACCATGCTGTAGTTCCTATATAGCCCAACATTAGCGTCCTTTAGCTTAGCGGTGGTGACGTGAAGTCATGTGACCGTGCTGTCGTTCCTTTATAGCCCAACATTAGCCTCCTTTAGCTTAGCGGTGGTGACGTGAAGTCATGTGACCGTGCTGCAGTTCCTTTATAGCCCAACATTAGCGTCCTTTAGCTTAGCGGTGGTGACGTGAAGTCATGTGACCGTGCTGTCGTTCCTTTATAGCCCAACATTAGCTTAGCGGTGCAGACATGAAGTTATGTGACCGTGCTGTAGTTCCTTTATAGCCCAACATTAGCCACCTTTAGCTTAGCGGTGCAGACATGAAGTTATGTGACCGTGCTGTATTTCCTTTATAGCCCAATATTAGCCACCTTTAGCTTAGCGGTGGTGACGTGAAGTCATGTGACCGTGCTGTAGTTCCTATATAGCCCAACATTAGCAACCTTTAGCTTAGCGGTGGTGACGTGAAGTCATGTGCCGTGCTGTTGTTCCTATATAGCCCAACATTAGCAACCTTTAGCTTAGCGGTGGTAACGTGAAGTCATGTGACCGTGCTGTAGTTCCTATATAGCCCAACATTAGCGTCCTTTAGCTTAGCGGTGGTGACGTGAAGTCATGTGACCGTGCTGTCGTTCCTTTATAGCCCAACATTAGCCTCCTTTAGCTTAGCGGTGGTGACGTGAAGTCATGTGACCGTGCTGCAGTTCCTTTATAGCCAACATTAGCGTCCTTTAGCTTAGCGGTGGTGACGTGAAGTCATGTGACCGTGCTGTCGTTCCTTTATAGCCCAACATTAGCCTCCTTTAGCTTAGCGGTGGTGACGTGAAGTCATGTGACCGTGCTGTAGTTCCTTTATAGCCGAACGTTTACTTCAGAAATCATAAAATGGTGTTAATATGTGGAGATTATCCTGCTGAACTAAACGTGTAAGAATCATAGATGTTTGTTTCTCAGGGCTTCTGTACGTTCAGACAAACACAGGAAGAACCCCGACTGAGATCTGAAGTCAACAGAAGAAGATACAGATCTGATAACATCCTAGAATAGAATAGAATAGAATAGAATAGAATTGGGAGGGATGAAAGCCTCTTTAATGGTCACACATGCAGAGCACACAGCACAGTGACATTTGGCCTCTGCATTTAACCCATCCTAGCACCAGGAGTCTAGCACCAGGAGTCTAGTAATAGGCGTACCTCATCACTTAGTTGACCTTTCACCTGGATCGGCGTTGATACTGACCGTTTGAAGAGCGGCCCGGTCCTCCAGATGTTGGTGTTTCCCACGCAGCCCCTCGGAGGCTCCGTGATGTTCTCCTTCTCAAACAGCTCCTGCAGCGACTGAGCCACGACCGCCACCGCGTCCGCGATGTGAGCCGACTCATTCTTACCGTTAATCAGCTGGAGGCCCAGCAGGCCTGCACCACACACACAGACAGACACACCCGCACGCACACACACACACACACACACACACACACACACACACACACACACACACACACACACACACACACACCACACACACACACACACACACACACACACACCACACACAACACACACCACACACACACACACACACACACACACACACACAACACACACACACACACACACACACACACACACACACACCACACACACACACACACACACACACACACACACACACACACACACACACACACACAACACACACACACACACACACACACACACACACACACACACAACACACACACACACACACAGAGACAGACACGCACGCACGCACGCACACACACACACACACACACACACACAGACAGACACACACACACACAAAGGAGAGGTTACACACACAGCAGAAAGTGGGCTGCAGACTGGAAACTGCCCTCATTCATACGGCTAATTAACTCGCACACACAGTTTAACTAATCTTATAGTAACTAAAGGAGTGCTTCAGTGTATTTCAAACACACACACACACACACACACACACTCTCAGGGCTTCAGGCATCAGGTCATTGCATGCTGGGAGTTCACTCTGAGAATCACAGCTGTTTGTCTGAGGAAAGAGAAAAGCCTCACTGGGACGTTATGAACTGTGCCTGGTGATTTCCTTCAGTAGAAACTCGTCACACTGCAACGAAAAGTGTCTACATCTGCGCTCCAGCTAACTGAGAACAGCACGCTAACACCATTAGCATTCCCTAATGAAACTGCCAGGAACATCTAGCATATATTTACTCATGAAAACACTGAGAACTACAGAAACTACTAGCTAGTGCTGTTAGCAGTGTAGCTAGCTAGTGCCTTCTGAGCAGATAGTATTCAGCCATCAAATAGAGAACAGCTAGCTAACATTAGCACAGTTTCAGCTGTTAACTGAAACTGAAGCACTGCAGAAGCACTCCTGCCCAACGGCCCCCTTCAACCACGAAGACAAGATAAGCTACCTTTCTTAAGTTAAAATAAAGAGTAGAACTGGTTATTGCAGTTAAAACTGATTCTGAATTAAGTTAACGTGTTCCCGTGGCGCAGAGGAATGCTAACGGTGCTAGCAGACGGTTGTCCGTTAGCTGAAGCATCAAATGCAGAAACCTTTTCCTCATAATGTGACAAGTGTCTGGGAAAGAAAAATCCATAACGTCACAGTACTGCTTCCTAGGTTTCTTTTCAGGGAATTGTTTCAGAGAGCAGGGGGTGGACACAATAACAGGAACACCTGTAGGATCTGATGCAAGCCATCACACAGCAGTAGAAATACCTCTGAAGACTTCAGGTCTGTTAGTGGCACACCTGTGACGCTCAGAGTTGACTGTTGAATTCTACGTCAGGTACGAGTGTTCATGTTGTAATGTTCACCCACTCTTCAGTGCTCATTATTTAGAGGTATTTACACAGTACACCTGTACAGAGCTCAAGAAGGTGGTGGTGGACATTTTGGAGCGGATTCGAATCACGGTGCGGATACTAGCATCATTTTAAATATATGGAAACGGCCTTGGCGGAGGTCATGGTCCTTTCTAGTTTCATTTTAACTGGTAAGCAATGGTGTTCCTGAGATCCAGACTGTTCTATCGATAAGGAACTGTGTTCAAATAATAGTTTTGATTATTAAACATGGCAAGGAATTAATTAATAAACACATTTTGTGTGTTTCTGGTTCTTAATGGTAATAATTTCAGCCAAAACTCTTACACTGCAATGCATATAGATAGTCGATTTTGGGTTATTAATTATGAGTCAAACTTATTTTCTGATGTCAATAAGAAAGAAGTGAGGAATTTCTAAACTTAGAGTCCAAATAATAAAGGGTCCTCTGAGAAAAGGGTTTTCCATGAAAATCAAAGTCCTATTTTCTGATGATATTTCAAACTCAAACTCCTCTCACGTTGTCTTCTTTATGGATAAGGACTGCTGGTATTAACAGTTGTTAAAGTAAACCAGTTCAATAATAAACGTGTCTTTAATCTGAAACGGTTTCCCGAAAAAGAAACCCCAAACTTCTCTGGCAGAGACAGAACAGCTGAGGATTATTTTCAGAGTGCTGTCTTGCCACACTTTTAAGAACATGATGGATACTCTTTGGACACATCTGGAGTTACGGGAAGGGACAGGGATGTGTAGAAAAATTACACATCATTTTTAAGAGTGCAGCAGCTGGTGAGGAGGTTTTCTGAAACGGAAAGGGGTCAGAGCGGGGAGCAGATCACCCAGCAGCCAGAGGGACGCACCTGAGGGTCAACGTGGACCACGTTTAATTTAACTCCAACATTATGTCACAGGAAGTCTTCAAACAGCGGCCAAAGGCTCTCCTGCAGATCCAATGTAGATCTATGGAGGGTCTTACATGGCCAAAAGCATGTGGACATCTCTATATCTAAATAACTGTAGTGAAAGTGCAACATTTGATACAACGTCCACAGTTTTCCACTAACTGACAGCTGGCTAATGTTGACTAATGAAGACACTTAACAGCTGGCTAATACTGTTAGCATTCCCCATAGAAACTACTGGGAACAGAACAACAAGCTAACATGTTCTGCTTAAACCACAAGCTAGCGCTGTTAGCACTGAAGCTAGCTATTATTACTCCTAGAGTAAAGTTAGCTAATAATCGTCCTTTCATAGACCTAATAGGCAGATTATATTAAATTACAGTAAATTAATTAATATACAGAGCATTAAATAAAGCGAACATTAAAACCTTTCGCTTAATATTAGCTTGACAATTAAAGGGTTATTCCAATTTACAAAAACTATTCCAAGATGTTTTACTCGTGACATATCAAAAGAATGTGACCGTAAATTAAGACTTCTTTGAAAATAGTAGATAAGCTACTATACTGACTCAACTACATATATAGTATATTAATAGTGTCTTCATGAACAAACGGAGAAAAACCTTTGTAACTCAGGAATATCCCAGGAGAGCCTGAACGCACCATATCTACTCAAGGCTATCTTGGTGTCCATCATTTTAGCCATATCAGCGTGTTGACGTGTTCTGGCTGCCCGAGTGATCAGCTGACTCAATAAGCCCCGCCCCCTCCCTACTCCCAGTGGGCGGGAACTCTATCGGCCAATGGCATAGGGGCAGATCATCAAGCAGGAAACGGGAAGCAGCGGCGGCATCTTACCAGTGTTTGTTCAGACACACGTCATGGTAATCGTAGCAACATTAGCGGTTTTTAAACCAACCCAAACCCCCCATCGACCCCCGAATATCCCCCCCCCCCCCCCAAGACATGTTATAGTGTACGGTGAGAACGAGCAGACGGGCGGGCGGACACACACTATAGAAAATGAAACAAACAAAAAGATGTTAGACACATTTAAAGCCACACAGTTACAATGAGCCAGAAAGAAAACAGTGGTTAGGAACCTTTAAACATGTCTCTCTTTTGTTTTTTTGCAGATGTTTAAACGTTCAACCAGCAGTTAGAGAGAAACCAGAGAAACACGACCAGGACGCTGAGCAGCAAACTGACTGTGATGAGGAGGAGAATCTTCCTTCATCAGAGACCTGCAGCACTACAGACAGACAGAGAGGCGGCCATGTTTCCATCCAACGGCTCCGTAAACACGCGGTTATCAATCAGATCAGAACCTCAAGGTCTCCGCCGGGGGCTGCAATGTCTCTACTTTAAAGAGTCCTCTCCTGCTGATGTTCAGGTGTATATCAGTATGTAGTGTCTCTACTTTAAAGAGTCCTCTCCTGCTGATGTTCAGGTGTATATCAGTATATAGTGTCTCTACTTTAAAGAGTCCTCTCCTGCTGATGTTCAGGTATATCAGTATGTAGTGTCTGTACTTTAAAGAGTCCTCTCCTGCTGATGTTCAGGTGTATATCAGTATGTAATGTCTCTACTTTAAAGAGTCCTCTCCTGCTGATGTTCAGGTATATCAGTATGTAGTGTCTGTACTTTAAAGAGTCCTCTTCTGCTGATGTTTAGGTGTATATCAGTATGTAGTGTCTCTACTTTAAAGAGTCCTCTCCTGCTGATGTTCAGGTGTATATCAGTATGTAATGTCTCTACTTTAAAGAGTCCTCTCCTGCTGATGTTCAGGTATATCAGTATGTAGTGTCTGTACTTTAAAGAGTCCTCTCCTGCTGATGTTCAGGTGTATATCAGTATGTAGTGTCTCTACTTTAAAGAGTCCTCTCCTGCTGATGTTCAGGTGTATATCAGTATGTAGTGTCTGTACTTTAAAGAGTCCTCTCCTGCTGATGTTCAGGTGTATATCAGTATGTAGTGTCTCTACTTTAAAGAGTCCTCTCCTGCTGATGTTCAGGTGTATATCAGTATGTAGTGTCTCTACTTTAAAGAGTCCTCCCCTGCTGATGTTCAGGTGTATATCAGTATGTAGTGTCTCTACTTTAAAGAGTCCTCTCCTGCTGATGTTCAGGTGTATATCAGTATGTAATGTCTCTACTTTAAAGAGTCCTCTCCTGCTGATGTTCAGGTATATCAGTATGTAGTGTCTGTACTTTAAAGAGTCCTCTCCTGCTGATGTTCAGGTGTATATCAGTATGTAGTGTCTCTACTTTAAAGAGTCCTCTCCTGCTGATGTTCAGGTGTATATCAGTATGTAGTGTCTCTACTTTAAAGAGTCCTCTCCTGCTGATGTTCAGGTGTATATCAGCATGTAGTGTCTCTACTTTAAAAAGTCCTCTCCTGCTGATGTTCAGGTGTATATCAGCATGTAGTGTCTCTACTTTAAAGAGTCCTCTCCTGCTGATGTTCAGGTGTATATCAGTATGTAGTGTCTCTACTTTAAAGAGTCCTCTCCTGCTGATGTTCAGGGGTATATCAGCATGTAGTGTTTCTACTTTAAAGAGTCCTCTCCTGCTGATGTTCAGGTGTATATCAGTATGTAGTGTCTCTACTTTAAAGAGTCCTCTCCTGCTGATGTTCAGGTGTATATCAGCATGTAGTGTCTCTACTTTAAAGAGTCCTCTCCTGCTGATGTTCAGGTGTATATCAGTATGTAGTGTCTCTACTTTAAAGAGTCCTCTCCTGCTGATGTCCAGGTGTATATCAGTATGTAGTGTCTCTACTTTAAAGAGTCCTCTCCTGCTGATGTTCAGGTGTATATCAGTATGTAGTGTCTCTACTTTAAAGAGTCCTCTCCTGCTGATGCTCAGGTGTATATCAGTATGTAGTGTCCTCTACTTTAAAGAGTCCTCTCCTGCTGATGTTCAGGTGTATATCAGTATGTAGTGTCTCTACTTTAAAGAGTCCTCTCCTGCTGATGTTCAGGTGTATATCAGTATGTAGTGTCTCTACTTTAAAGAGTCCTCTCCTGCTGATGTTCAGGTGTATATCAGTATGTAGTGTCTCTACTTTAAAGAGTCCTCTCCTGCTGATGTCCAGGTGTATATCAGTATGTAGTGTCTCTACTTTAAGAGTCCTCTCCTGCTGATGTTCAGGTGTATATCAGTATGTAGTGTCTCTACTTTAAAGAGTCCTCTCCTGCTGATGTTCAGGTGTATATCAGTATGTAGTGTCTCTACTTTAAAGAGTCCTCTCCTGCTGATGTTCAGGTGTATATCAGTATGTAGTGTATCTACTTTAAAGAGTCCTCTCCTGCTGATGTTCAGGTGTATATCAGTATGTAGTGTCTCTACTTTAAAGAGTCCTCTCCTGCTGATGTTCAGGTGTATATCAGTATGTAGTGTCTCTACTTTAAAGAGTCCTCTCCTGCTGATGTTCAGGTGTATATCAGTATGTAGTGTCTCTACTTTAAAGAGTCCTCTCCTGCTGATGTTCAGATGTATATCAGTATGTAGTGTTTCTACTTTAAAGAGTCCTTTAGATGTGATGTATGTGAAGGCTCTTCGCTGCAGAAACCACAGAGAGCAACGGCTGCACTTTGATCAGCTTTATCTGCAGGATTATTTTCTGACTGATGAAGATCTCAGCTCCTCTTCCTCACGACTTCACTGACCTGGATCTGACTTTTTAGAAATACTTTGTTTGAAAAATATCTCTGATGTTGGATGGAAGCAGAGCCGAGAGAGAGGAAGAGAGAGACTTCCAGAGAGGTGAGGAAGAGGAGAGGAAGAGAGAGAGACTTCCAGAGAGGTGAGGAAGAGGAGAGGAAGAGGAAGAGACTTCCAGAGAGGTGAGGAAGAGGAGAGGAAGAGAGAGACTTCCAGAGGTGAGGAAGCGGAGAGGAAGAGGAAGAGACTTCAGAGAGGTGAGGAAGAGGAGAGGAAGAGACTTCCAGAGAGGTGAGGAAGAGGAGAGGAAGAGAGAGACTTCCAGAGAGGTGAGGAAGAGGAAGAGACTTCCAGAGAGGTGAGGAAGAGGAGAGGAAGAGAGAGACTTCCAGAGAGGTGAGGAAGCGGAGAGGAAGAGGAAGAGACTTCCAGAGAGGTGAGGAAGAGGAGAGGAAGAGACTTCCAGAGAGGTGAGGAAGAGGAGAGGAAGAGGAAGAGACTTCCAGAGAGGTGAGGAAGAGGAAGAGACTTCCAGAGAGGAGAGGAAGAGGAAAAATACAGAGGAAAGAGAGGAAGACGAGAGAGAGGTGAGGAAGAGGAGAGACTTCCAGAGGAAGAGGAGTGATTACGAGGAGGAGGATGAAGAGGACTTGATAATGAGGAGGTGATGAAGAGAGGAGGTGATGAAGAGGGGAGGAAGTGGAGGAGGAGTTGATGAAGAGGGGAGGAGGAGGAGCTGATGAAGAGGGGAGGAAGAGGAGGAGGAGCTAATGAAGAGGGGAGGTGATGAAGAGGAGGAGGTGATCATGAAGAAGTGATGAAGAGGAGGTGATATAGTGTTAAAGGAGTAGGTGATGAAGAGGAGGAGCAGGAGGATGTGATGAAGAGGAGGAGGAAGAGTACCGTCAGGAGCCTCGCTCAGAGCCTTCCCGGTCATCTCTCTCTCTCCGACCATCCAAACGTATCCTGATCCCGTCATGTTCAGCTGCCGCGCCGCTTTGTACACGGCGGCTGCCTCGTCCTCACTGTGGGGCGTTAGCAGGCGTTAGCTTAACGCTAGCATGAGAGACGTGAGCTAAACGTTAGCATGAGAGACGTAAGCTAAACGTTAGCATGTGAGACGTGAGCTAAACGTTAGCATGTGAGACGTAAGCTAAACATTAGCATGTGAGACGTGAGCTAAACGTTAGCATGTGAGACGTGAGCTAAACGTTAGCATGAGAGACGTAAGCTAAACGCTAGCATGAGAGACGTGAGCTAAACGTTAACATGAGAGACGTAAGCTTAACGCTAGCATGAGAGACGTGAGCTAAACGTTAGCATGAGAGACGTAAGCTAAACGTTAGCATGTGAGCTAAATGTTAGCATGTTAGACGTGAGCTAAACGTTAGCATGTGAGACGTAAGCTAAACACTAGCATGTGAAACATCAGTTAAACGTTAGCAAAGTGAGCTGTTAGCTGTACGTAAGCATGTGAGACGTGAGCTAAATGTTAGCAAAGTGAGACGTGAGCCAAATGTCTTGAGATCTTAGCGAGTTTGTTGTTAGCTGATGGGAACGAGACGTCAGCAAGGGTGATAGTGTGGCGGAGCTTTAAGGGACATAATTCACCGTTGTATTGTTGTGGGTGGGGAACACGATATAGTGTTGCCCCATGGACCGGTTAGTGGACGACACCTTGGTGTTCCGGTTTCCTGTTGTTCCTATTCCAGCTTCGCAGTAGCATGCAGCGAGTACGTTTTTGTGTGTGTGAGTAAAATGAAAATAAAGTGTGGAGTTCCATATTAAACACACCGCCTCCGACTCCCATTCATCGGCTCTACACTGGTGACCCCGATGTTTTTGAGATAGATTCCGAAGACTTAGTGAACATGGCAGATCGCAATGTTTTTATTAAACTGCCGGAGTTATGGGAACATGCCGCTACGGCCTGGTTCGTACCGCAACGAGGAACTGAAGTATTTCCACATGATGGCGGCGCTGGGGAGCTCCGCGTCATCCAAGTTAGGCCAATTTATTGCGGATCCCCTGCGCCTGGGCAAATATGAGTCGAAAGCCCTTCTCCTTAAGACATTTGGCTTATCTGCTAATGAGAGGGCTCGCCAGATTTCCAAGATTCAGGGCCTGGGGGAGAGCAAGCCATCCCAGCTCATGGTGAAGATGCTGAAGCTGCTGGGGCGGGAAGATCCCCAGATGTTGTTTGTGGAGACGTTCCTGCGCCACTTGCCGCTCCGGGTTCAGACTGCGCTGGCGAAACACGACCATTACGGAGCCCCGCGCCCTGGCTGAGGAGGCGGACCGTTTCTTCCTTCTTCCTTCCAAAGTGTACCGCCACACGAAGGCCCCGCTTAGAGAAATTCCTTGTGCCTGAGAGGAGGTTTGACCACGTCAACATCGATCTGGTTGGCCCATTACCCTCCTCTCAAGGTTTCACCTACCTCCTAACTATGGTGGACAGGACGACCCGCTGGCCGGAGGTGATCCCACTCGCGTCGACAGCGGCGGCTGATATAGCCCGGGCCTTCATTGCGACATGGGTGTGTCGTTTTCGACATTTCCTCTGACCGTGGTTTGCAGTTCACGTCCAAGCTCTGGAATGCCGTGGCCGGGGGTTAAGCTCCACCAGACAACCGCTTATCAGCTTCGGGCCAACAGCCTCTGCGAGCCCCTCAGGGCCAGCCTAACGGACGGTAATGGATCGACAAGCTGCCTTGGGTTTTGCTGGGCATTAGGACCGCACCAAAGGAAGATCTGCAGTGCTCCACGGCTAAGATGGTCTACAGTCAGCCGCTGCGACCACACAGCACACTTTCCTGCAGGACACCGCTAAGGCCTTTGCTCCGATCCCCACTGCTCAGCACGGCACTCCGGTGTTCCCCTGCAGACCCCTTAAGACGAGCCTTTCTGAATCTTGGAACACGGGGGGAAGCACTTGGTGGTGGACCTGGGTGGCAGGGCCGAGCACGTCTCGGTGGACCAGGTTCTTAGCAGAATGTTAGTGAGATATTTGCGAGACATTAATGTGACAGTAGGTAGATGTGAGCAAGACCTAAGCGAGTTGTAAGCGAGACGTTGGAGATGCGTTTAAAGTGGGCTATAGAGAACCGCAGTGACGCATCCTAAAACCCGGAAGTAAGTTAGCATTTTTACCACTGCCGGTTCCTTCGACAAAAAGCAATGGGATCTCTCCATAGGGTTTAGGAAACTATCTGAACTAAGGTCTGTGGTTGACACAAATTGAAGAGACGGATCACGTTTTGTTCTACATTAAATCCATCAGCAGTGACCCCACTGTGATTTCTGAAGAGTGTCTGAAAAACGATGGTTGTTACCAAGTGGCTGAATAGGACTACAGAAGTCGTGGAGGTCGTTGTACGTCATTACGCCGAACACGTAAACACTCCTAAGTTAGTTTCTGTTCTGCTTGAAAGCAAGTCCCTGCCTCCTGCAAAGTGTTCAAACAGACGCTTCAACTCGTTCCATTTAGAATCTGTGTGTTTGAATATGGATCTGAAGTTGGCGTGACGTTGAAGTCGTGCTGCTGGACTCGGCTGTAGTTCCTTTATAGCATAACGTTAGCATTTAGCTTCTGGCGACTAGATTTATGAGTCGAAAATTATTAAAGTAGGGTAGACATGTGGAGATTATCCGGCTGAACAAAACGGGATCCGTCTCTTTAATGTGTGTCAACCACAGACCTTATTTCGAGCTATTTTTCAAAATCCTATGGAGAAACTGCATTGGTTTTTGACGAAGGAACCGGAAGGAGTTTACTTCCGGGTTTTAGGATGCGTCACTGCGGCTCTCTATTTAGAATACGCTTTTCTACCAAAACTACGCAAACAGCAAGTACCCAAACACCCACCTGGCAGAGAGGATGATGACTCGAGCCTCCAGGTCTCTGGCCTCTAGCAGCAGAGCCGTCAGGTTCGTCTCTGGGCTGAAGGACAGCACCTTCTCCGCCTGCAGGACCAGGTGTAGAGCGACAGGTGTAGAGCGTCAGGTGTAGAGCGACAGGTGTAGAGCGACAGGTGTAGAGCGACAGGTGTAGAGCGTCAGGTGTAGAGCAGGACATTGAGAAACACAGCAGAACAAAACACCACAGAACACACATCATAGGAAAGGCATTATTAGCAGTGAACCCTCAGACCCCTCCTTCGATGACCCCTGACCCCTCCCTCAATGACCCCATGCTCCCTCTCACCCACGCCACCACGGGGGGAGGGGGGCAACAACAACAAAAGAGTTCAAGATCTGCTGAACTGAAAGAAAACTGAAAGCCGAAGCTTGAATAAATAAAGGGGGAGGGGCGTGGTGTGGTGGCACATGCAAAGTGACTGCAACCAACCAACCAATCAGGGACGTGCATGTTAGAGAGCGCTGATGCAACCGCAAATCAAAACAAAGACTTTGAGTGGAAATAGAGGGTGTGCAGGAGTCATGACAAAGGAAGGTAAAGATGGAGAAAGACGAGCCTCCAGGATATTAAAAGTCTATCTCTGGGTGTGGGGGGGTCGGGGGGGGGGGGGGGGCGTGTCTGTCCGCTGCGAGCTCATTGGTTGGGCGGCGTGCATCATGTGACCATGCAAGTTTCTACCTTGGGCGTTCTCCGGAAGTCATAGTTCTGATGGTCGTTTTCATAGTTCCTTTTTTTATTCTGATGGTAATGATGTGCACAGAGAAAATATGCAGACACAGAAGTTTACAGACAGGAAGAGGAAACGCATCATACAGGGGGAGGGGCCTGTCTGTCTGACTGTCTGTCTGTCTGCCTGTCTGATCGCTAACAGCTAATAGCTAGTCGCTAACAATTAACTGTCAGCTAACTTCTCACTGCTAGCTGCTAACAGCTAACTACTAACAGCTAGTCGCTAAGTTAACTAACTGTCACCTAACTTCTCACTGCTAACTGCTAACTACTAACAGCTAGTCGCTAAGTTAACTAACTGTCACCTAGCTTCTCACTGCTAACTGCTAACAGCTAACAGATAATCGCTAACTGTCAGCTAACTTCTCACCGCTAAAAGCTAACAATAGCTAGCTCTCCTGCTGTTTTTAAAACAGATTAGTTGTTAAAAGTGTCGCATTATCCGTTTTCTTTATTATTAATCTATATATATATATATATACTATATTATTGTTCTTATTTGTATTATAACTGTAGTCCTAAAGTACATAACAATAACATTTTAAATAGTTTCAGATTCACCACCTCCAGCTGTTATTGCAGCACTGAGCTGAATGAAGAGCGTTGATAGTGAGGAGTGTTTGTGCATAATAACATTTTGTTTCAGGTATTCCAGTTTACAAAGCGACGCTCCACCAGCGACTTCCGGTTTGTCTCTAGAGATATATTTAGTTTTGGAGATAAATATAAACCTGGCGTTTTTATTTTTGGAGGAGAACAAAGACCTTAACGTGTTTGAAACCTGAATCCCTCACAGCTGGAGACCTGAGACACAGCTCATACAACCTGAAGAATCACGGGAGAGGCTGCTTCATTTATTCATCAAATCAGGGAATCATTGTTTAAAAAATAACAAAGACATTTAATATTAAATCTGCACATCGGGATCATTTTTTTTAAATGAAGGCTAAAAACGAAACGGGGGAGTCTTTTAAAACACTTTGATTAACACACTTATACAACATATACAAATATATTACAAGTACTCTGCGATTTATCACGTGTTTAAATGTATGCTACAAGTCGGGTTTTCACCTGTCTCTTAAATGTCATCAGTTTCTCATGTAAAGCATTTTGAACTGGGTTTTGAAAGCAATAGCTCAGAATGTCGACACAACTTGGCTAACGTTAGCGTGGGTGTGTTTACTATTTGTTTTGACTTTTCCTAAATTCTCTCTTTGCTTTCATGTGAAACTCTATAATGATGTTGTGTAATGTGAAGTAGTCTGGTTTAAACAAAGGATGAATAAAGAACATGGGTTAGCGTGTAGGAACACAGGGAGGCGTGTAAACCCCCATCAGCAGCTGGCCCTCCACTCAATACACTCCAAATGTTCACCTCATTAAATGTACATCCATGTCCCTGAACTACACACACACACACTCACGCTTTAAGGAGAATGTATTCCCTATTCAGACGTGAGTTTCCTCAACTATTGAACTTGTTTTCCCTTCACTAGTTTAGTAGCTACACACATTTATTCAGTTAGCTAGTGTATAAGTGATCACTGGTCACCAAGCTGGGGTCCCATTGATCTTAACTAGTGAGGCTCTGAATGTTAACTACCTATCTATTATGGGTGAAATGTTAACTAGTTACCTAGTGAAGGACTGCCACTGTCATACATGTTAACTAGCAAACGTGTTGAGCTTCACTAGTTTAATATTTAACACAACACAACTTTTGGAACAGATATTTTAGACCTTGTTAGTGAATCAGTTAACTGATCAAACTGACCATAAACTTAGTCTAGGTACAGATTTGAATCCATTGTGTGCAAACAGTGAGTGTATGTGCTGTGTGTGTGTGTGTGTGTGTGTGTGTGATATTCTTCATTATTTCGTTATGAACTCATGTTTAATTCAGGACTCTCCCTACTTTCACTAATGTGCTGTAATATTCATGTTCCTCCTGCATCATTGATGAGTCTCTGAGACAGGAAGTCACAGTTTCACTTTTTATAAACTTTGGTTTTTACTTCGCTGACTTAATTACCCGCGTCTCTGAGGGTCTCACTTCTAAACATCCTTATCTTCACATTCAGAGAGCCTCCTCCGAGCCGCCCTCCTTCACCCAGAGATAATCAGTGCACATGTTTTATTAAAGTGTGTTCTCTAATTACTCATTTGTCTTTACAAATATTTTCAGCTGCCTTCACTTGCTCCAAGTGCTTTTAATATTTTAGTCCATAATATTTTATTTATTTTTATCTTGCTCTGTTTTAGATCTGTGCCCACACTACGATACACCGTGTTTATCTCCACTGGCTGATCTTCAACCGGCTGTATGGCTGAGAGGTGAATTATATTTCTACATGTTTGATAGATCTAAAGGTGAGGTATGGAACATGAGGGATGTTTTCTTCATATTTTGCAGGACGTTTACTTGCTACAGAGCAATTCTTCACCTTGGTGTTAATACTCTTACTGCATTAATATTCAGAAGATACCTCTGGGTATAAAAGGTGATCAATTAGGATTTGTTGATTAAATGATCGCTTATCACCACTGATCACTGAGACTCCTGAGGAATAACTGAGGGGATAAACCTGACAGACAGACAGACAGACAGACAGACAGACAGACAGACAGACAGAACTGAAGGAAAAGGAAAATTAAGGTATTTTGTAAGTAGAATAAAGAAGAACAAATAAATCAACAACATAAAAGAAGAGAGGAAGAAACTAAAACTCCACCAAATGGCACAGAATGAATTTTTTTTTTTGTGAGAGCAAGCATTTTCCGGTTGGTGCTTATAGTGAAGAAAAAGGTGTAAAATAGTCTTTGAGCGTTTTATTGATGAAACGCTGAGAGTAGCTACTGCCCAGCACCTGGCCAGCAGCTTTCTGCAAGAAAAAGGCACTAACTGCCCATTACAGGTCCTGGAAATAGCTTCTACTGACATCTACCTGCTAACATCTACCTGCTAACATCTAACTGCCAACATCTACCTGCTAACACCTAACTGCTAACATCTACCTGCTAACATCTAACTGCTAACATCTACCTGCTAACATCTAACTGCCAACATCTACCTGCTAACATCTAACTGCCAACATCTACCTGCTAACATCTAACTGCTAAAATCTACCTGTTACAGCTAACTGCTCAAATGTACCTGTTACAGCTAACTGCTAACATCTAACTGCTAACATCTACCTGTTAGAGCTAACTGCTAACATCTACCTGTTAGAGCGAACTTCTAACATCTAACTGCTAAAATCTACCTGTTACAGATAACTGCTAACATCTAACTGCTAACATCTACCTGTTAGAGCTAACTGCTAAAATCTACCTGTTTATGTTAACTGCTAAAATCGAACCGCTAACATCAAACTGCCAACATCTAATTGCTAACAACTAGCTGCCAACATCTACAGCCAACTGCTAAAATGTACCTGCTACAGCTAACTGCTAACATCTAACTGCTAACATCTACCTGTTACAGCTAACTGCTAACATCTAACTGCTAACATCTAACCAATAACATCTAACTGCTAACATCTACCTACAGCTAATGGCTAAAATGTACCTGTTACAGCTAACTGCTAACATCTTACTGCTAACATCTACCTGTTACAGCTAACTGCTAACATCTAACCAATAACATATAACCAATAACATCTAACCAATAACATCTAACCAATAACATCTAACTGCCAACATTTAACTGCCAACATCTAACTGCTAAAAATCTACCTGTTACAGCTAACTGCCAACATCTAACTGCCAACATTTAACTGCCAACATCTAACTGCTAAAAATCTACCTGTTACAGCTAACTGCCAACATCTAACTGCTAACATTTACCTGCTAACATCTAACTGCTCAAATCTACCTGTTACAGCTTACTGCTAACATCTAACTGCTAACATTTACCTGCTAACATCTAACTGCTAAAAAATCTAACTGCCAACATCTACCTGTTACAGCTAACTGCTAACATCTACCTGTTACTGCTAACATCTACCTGTTACAGCTAACTGCTAACATCTTACTGCTAACATCTACCTGTTAAAGCTAACTGCTAACATCTAACCAATAACATCTAACCAATAACATCTAACTGCCAACATTTAACTGCCAACATCTAACTGCTAAAAATCTACCTGTTACAGCTAACTGCCAACATCTAACTGCTAACATTTACCTGCTAACATCTAACTGCTCAAATCTACCTGTTACAGCTAACTGCTAACATCTAACTGCTAACATTTACCTGCTAACATTTACCTGCTAACATCTAACTGCTAAAAAAATCTAACTGCCAACATCTACCTGTTACAGCTAACTGCTAACATCTAACTGCTAACATTTACCTGCTAACATCGAACTGCTCAAATCTAACTGCCAACATCTACATGTTACAGCCAACTGCTAAAATGTACCTGTTACAGCTAACTGCTGACATCTAACTGCTAACATCTAACCGCTAACATCTAACTGCTAACATCTAACTGCTGACATCTAACTGCTAACATCTAACTGCCAACATCTACCTGCTAACATCTAACTGCAAACATCTACCTGTTACAGCTAACTGCTCAAATGTACCTGTTACAGAACTGCTAACATCTAACCGCTAACAGCTAACATCTAACCGCTAACATCTAACCGATAACATCTAACTGCTAACAGCTAACCGCTAACTGCCAACAGCTAACATCTAATTGCTAACATCTAACTGCTAACATCTAATCGCTAACAGCTAACTGCTAACTACCAACAGCTAACATCTAACTGATAACAGCTAACATCTAACCGCTAACATCTAACTGCTAACATCCAACCGCTAACATCTAACCGCTAACAGCTAACCGCTAACTACCAACAGCTAACATCTAACTGATAACATCTAACAGCTAACCGCTAACATCTAATCGCTAACATCTAACTGCTAACATCCAACCGCTAACATCTAACCGATAACATCTAACTGCTAACCGCTAACATCTAACCGCTAACTGCCAACAGCTAACTGCTAAAAATGAGCCACAGACAGTTTGGTAGCAATCAGACCTACGCTTTATGACTAAAATAACTACATTTATTCAGGGGGGGAATCTGGTATTGTGACAGGTGCTCTAACTTAGAATAAAATATAAATAAAAGAAAATGTTTATAATATTTAGGAGATTTGAGCTCAACTCGT